CTGCACGTTATGCACATGTACCCTAGAACTTAAAGTATAATAATAAGAAGAAATAAATTTTAAAAAAAGATAATATAATCAAAAAAAAAAGTTGTATGTTTTCTGCAAATAAAAAGAAATGTGGAAGTATAGTTTAAAGGTAAAAATGCAAATTTACACTAATGCATAGATTTTAAGATAGAAAATCAAAGCCATCTGAATACAGAGTACATATACATGATCATACACACAGCCACTTAGTCTTATGTATATAACTCTCTCTCTCTCTCACCCACACACACACCCCCACACCCACACCCACACCCACACACACACATACACAGAGAAACACTCAGTTGGGCACATACATCCATACGCACATGCACAAACCCCAAACACCATTCTCTTACTTTGTGGAGAAATACTAAATAAAATATTATGAAAAACTAAAAACAATTTTAAAAATCACAACTCTAACAATATAAACATAGCCTAACATGAATTCTGGTGCAACTTCTATGCCCTGATGTTGACACTGGTGGACAGGAACATGAGCTAGGGGGCGCTGTCTTCGCCAAGGATGTTTTTACATTGCTGTATCTGTCAGCCTCTTTGAGGCTCAAGCACAGTTATTTTTTTCTTTCCTTGTCCTTTTTATCTCAATTCTACATTTCACATTAGAAAATAATCCAACCTAATGTCTGCCCCAGGGAAATCTCTCTAGATTCATACATTTATTGATAGAGTAGGTCACATGGAAATTTAATCTAATATAGGTTTAAGTGGAAAGAATAAGAACAGGCACATTTATTATTTCTATATATCCCCAAACCAGCCAAGCTGATGTTATTTTGAGATCTCTGCAATGGAATTTTTTAAAAAAGAGTATTAAGTAAAACGGAGCCTGCATCATAATTTAATGATTCTGCTAATGTGCTTCTTGATTTTAATCTACTATAAATCCATTGCAATTATGTAGTGGAATTATTTAATGTGATTTTGCCTGTCTGAATCTATTATTTTTCCACAAGAAGCTGTCTGGAAAATGCCAAAACGTATATCACCTGACAGGCAAATAGATTTCCATTCTCAGCAAAGTATAATATGTAATTTAAATTCATTATCTGAGGATGTGAGATCACATTAAATATATAGAAAATAATCTTTCTGGTCGGGGGCAGCTGAATTTTTACTATCAAAATAGATCAGATTTCTATCATATTAACAGTTTCATTATCTTGAGAAAAGAAGAAAAGTGCTATTTTTATCAGCCCACTTGCATTGGTTGGATTCTAGTATGTATTTCAAATTTGTCCACAGCTGTTTAGCATTAAAACCAATGAGACTGACTACATTATAGAAGGTTCCCTCCTTCTATACCTTGGAACATATTGGCTGCAATGGTCTGAATGTTGATGTCCTCTCCCCCACATTCATATGTTGGAATCCAATGTGATCATATTAAGAGGTGGGGCCTCTGTGAAATGATTAAGTCATGAGCTCCATCCTCATAAATAGTCTCCTTCTCGCCCTTAGGAAAGAGGCTCAGTGCCAGCGAGCTCCCTTGCCCTTGCCCCCTTTGTTTTGTTAAGGCACCAGCAAGAAGGCGCCATCTTTGAAGCAGAGAATAAACTCTCACTAGACAACAAATTTATATTTTTTTTCTCAATTCTGATGTACTATAAGAATATAAATACTCCTTGCGTGAGACATTAGAATTCTAAATAGGATTAGTAGGACATCCTTTTTTTCTTTTCTTTTCTTTTTTTCCCTTGGGACCCCAGGATGTGCCATCCTCAGGCCACAGACACTAGCCTTAGCTCAGGTCCCAGCCTCTAGGTGGGGTCCTGACACAAGCAGGCAGCCACCCCCAAGCCGTGACTGTGGTTCTCACTTTGGAATTTCATCAAACTGCCAGAGATATAGAAAGCTGGGGTCAGGTCCAGCAGGGGCAGCTGCCCCTCCCAGGGACAGTGTGTTGCTCCCACCCACCACCGCCCAGGCCCACTGTCTCCTCTGCCTCACTGACCCCCTGCCGAGTTTCCCCGTTCCTGAGCCAGCACTGCATTCATCCGGCTCTCTTTTTTAAATTATTATTATACTTTAAGTTCTGGGATACACATGCAGAATGTGCAGGTGTTTTACATAAGTACACACGTGCCACGGTGGTTTGCTCCACCCATCAACCCATTATCTACATTAGGTATTTCTCCTAATACTATCCCTTCATTTGCCCCCCCAACCCCCAACAGGCCCCAGTGTGTGATGTTCCCCTCCCTGTGTCCATGTGTTCTTATTGTTCAATTCCCACTTATGAGTGACAACATGTGGTATTTGGTTTTCTGTTCTTGTATTAGTTTGCTGAGAATGATGGTTTCCAGCTTCATCCATGTCCCTGCAAAGGACATGAACTCATCCTTTCTTATGGCTGTATAGTATTCGATGGTGTCTAATTAAACTAAAGAACTTCTGCACAGCAAAAGAAACTATCATCAGAGTGAACAGGCAATCTACAGAATGGGAGAAAATTTTTGCAGTCTATCCATCTGACAAAGGGCTAATATCCAAAATCTACAAAGAACTTAAACAGATTTACACTTAAAAAAAAAATCAAAAAGTGGGCAAAGGATACGAAGAAACACTTCTCAAAAGAAGACATTTATGAAGTCAACAAACATAGGAAAAAAGCTCATCATCACTGGTTGTTAGAGAAATGCAAATCAAAACCACAATGAGATACCATCTCATTCCAGTTAGAATGGTGATCATTAAAAAGTCAGGAAATGACAGATGCTGGAGAGGATGTGGAGAAACAGGAATGCTTTTGCACTGCTGGTGGGAGTATATATTAGTTCAACTATTGCGGAAGATGGTGTGGCAATTCGTCAAGGATCTAGAACCAAAAATACCATTTGACCCAGCAATCCCATTCCTGGGTGTATACCCAAAGGATTATATATCATTCTATTATAAAGACATATGCATATGTATGTTTATTGCAGCACTGTTCACAACAGCAAAGACTTGGAAACGACCCAAATGCCCATCAATAATAGACTGGATAAAGAAAATGTGGGACATACGTTTAACAACTCTAAAAAGTAACTTTAATTTTAAAAATATTTACAAGCATTATCAACCCTATTCTCTGCAGCAGGTTTATTGGAGGTGAAGCAGTGAAAGAACAAGACTTGGAGAGCTTTGGTTGTGTCTCTCTTACTCTCCAGAAGTATGAAAAAATAAATTTTCATTGTTCAAGCCGCCAAGTTTGTGGCACTTTCTTACAGCAGCAATAGCTCACTAATACGCAAGCATGTTTTTATTGCAGAAAGAATTTTGTCTTATAAAATATCAGAATTATGTTTGTATAGGTTGTGATTTAAAGAGCTATAATGTGTATTGAAATCTTCAGCACATTCATAGAAAACACATGAGACTCAATGTAATCATTCTCTTAAAATATCTAGCAGGGTAGGAGACTTTTAATCTAACTTGGCACTTTAAAATTCCTGGATTATATTGTTGCACTAGATAGAGATAGATAGATAGATAGATAGATAGATAGATAGATAGATAGATTTAATTCATTTTGCATACAACTATCTAGTGGGATATATGTAATGTAATAGGCAAAATATAGATAGTATACTATATAATTTATGCTGTATAATAGATATTATATACATATATACATATATTCATATATTATGATACATATATGATACATATGATATGATACATATGATATAATATATAATATATGTATCATATATTATCATATATGTATATTATATATCATGTTTGTATGTGTGTATTCCATCAAATATTAGTATTTTTAGACAAAATGAATAGGCTTGCCTAAAATTTTATCTTTAAAATATCTTGGTTTTAATGTCAATAATTTGTTTGCATCATTCATCCCAAATTTAGTTTTAAGGAAGAGGAACAGGACTAGTCAATTCAATATGGGTGTACCATAGAAAAATCATATTATGATGTATAATGTTGTTGAATGTGGCCTTGGGAAATAAGAATTGTTAAACTATTTTAATCCTTTAGAGAACTTTGATCCTTTAGAGGCTGTCAGTAAATATTGCATAAAATATAAGCAACTTTTTAAGTAAAATAATGAAGACATCTTTTCCAAATTGAATTTTAGTGAGTTTTTGTACACATCAAATGTCCTAAGGAATTCCTGGGATAAAAATTATTACATGAATCATATTGCTAGATCTCAATATTAAAATATTTCTGCACTATAAATTGTCATGAACACTCAGCAAAGTCAGCATGGACTCACACTTACAATTTGGTTCAGATGTTGAGATTGATGGTTACAAACACACACACACACACACACACACAAAAACAATCCAAGAGGTATGATAAGGTTTATCACTTACATAATTGAGGCTTTTCTGAGTATAGAATGGCAGATCCACCCAGCAGTTCCAAAATCTCCTAGGAAAATAAGGAAAAGAGAGTAGCCTGTGGCTATTACTATGGTTAGAGGTTGTGGTCAGGGTGATGGTACTTAACACAACAGGGGCTTCTGTGAATTGAATATCCCCATTGCACTGGCTGACTCCAAAGTACAGAGAATCTTCCTTATCAGCTTTCTTATCAGCTTGCCCAAATGTGTGACACAAAGAGAAGACACAGGGGTAAGGCTCAAAATCTGTCAGCAGCCAAACGTGAAAAAGTGAAATCAGACTCCTTACAACAGAAACATAATGTTAACTTAGTTACGAGATCTAATCCATTTACTATACTCTTAAATTAGACTTGTTAAATATTTTATTTACTAATTTGAAATCTACATTCACAACTGATAACTACGTTTTACTTTTTATTTTAGGAGTACTATTTCAAGTTTTGGAATTGGATTGTGTAGGCTAGCTTCATAAAATGATATTGTAAATTTCCTTTTATTCTTCTTATAGTAGAACAGTTAAATAAATTAGTAATTATTTGTTTATTGAAAGTTTTGTAAAATCCCAATTCCAGGGTTCTTTGATGGCATTTTTATATCTTCCATTCCTGCTAAGTAATGTATTTAGATTTGACATAGTTGACTCTCTGTGTGTGTTTGTATGTGTATGAAAATATGCACATATATATGGATATAGATATATGCTTGATATATAGAGATAGAGAAAAACATACATAATTGTTTTCTAGAAATTTTCAAATTTATCACACAAAGTTCTACACTGAATTCTTTTAAAATGTTTTCTTGTCATATTGCTTTCACTGGTCTTACTATTATTTGTTCCAACTTTTTTTTGATAGTTTTTTGACTCTGAGAAAATTACTTAAACTTTCTAAGCCTCAGTTTTCTTATTTATAAATTGCGACAGATAAAACCTAAGGTGTGAGTTTTCTTTTGTTGTGTGTCAAATTACCACAAACTTGGTGATTTAAGACAACCCACTCTTACTATCTCACCATTTCCATGAGTACAGTGTCTGGGCACAGCTTAACTGAGTCCGTTGTGCAGGGTCTCACCAGGCTACAGTCAAGGTGTTGACCAGGGTTGGCATCTCATCTGAGGTTCAAGATGGTCTTTTAAGCTCATGTGGTTGGTAGTGGAGTTCAGTTCCTTACAGTTGAAGGACTGAAGTGGTTGACTTCTAGAGACTTCTCCCCTCACCCCAATTTCCAGCCATGTGGCAGTCTCCACAAAATGGAACTTTCCTTTTCCATTTTGGTAAGAAGCCGATTCTTGCCTCTTACCACCACCACTTCATCTGAAAGGCTAAACTGATTAAGACAGGCCACCCAGAATAATCACCCTTTGATTAACTCAAAGTCAACTGATTAAGAACCATAATCACATCTGCAAAATGTCTTTACCTTTGCTATATAATGGCAGCAATATCCATCACACTCATTCTGCACACAGTCAAGGAGCTGGATTACGGGAAGTGAGAACATCAGGGGGTGGGAGTCTTGAGGGTCATCTTAGAATTCTGCCTACTGCACCTACCCAGAAGGGTTGATGATACTTGTCAGTGACTTACTGAGATAATATCCATAAGATGCAGTGCACCATCTCAGCAAACTGAATATACCTCTCAGGCTCTGACCAATTCTATGCCCTGAGAGATCTCTTTATGCAGCACCTTTCCTGTCTGACCACAGAGGGGCTACGTGGGTGCTGGGAGTGTGCAGGGCCTTTGCCAGAAGAATATTGGAGTCTCCCTTGTCTCTCTTGCTCTTCCGTGGCACAGATTTTGGATAGATTAAGTCCTGGTCACTCTTTTATCCTCATACGCCATGATCAGGGTCTGATTTCAGCTTAGGTCATTTTTCTACTTGCCCAGAAACTACAACCTGGGTGTGACCTGGTTTCCTCCATAGGGCACTAGATGTACCCAGGAAGATCATTCAAGGTCCAGCGCCAACCAGGCCTGAAACAACACTCCAGAGAGGGGCGGAGCTGTGCAAGGGAAGGATTTCTGAGCTGCTGGGTTTTGAGAATTTCAACCCTTAGAATTACTGCAGCAGCTTACTGAGGTCATATAGCCTCTCAATCTCTTTTTTCTATACTAAATCTCTTTTTCTAGACATAAATGGTCTTCTTCAAAGAAATTTTTGCTGAGCCATTTCAGTCAGTTTACGCTAGCTTTTCAAAAGTAAGAAAAATTCTTGAACATAGATCAAACTTGTAGAAGTGAAAAGGAACCAAGCACAGGAGTTTCAGTAGGGTTAAAACCTGCTGTTAACTATAAATACTTTCAAATTTTATTCCCTCCCCTAGTACAGAGCAGCTCTCCATGTAGATCGCCAAATTTTATTTTTTCATCACGTAAGTGTTCAATAAACTTTGTGTCTTCCTTAACACTATGCTGTTCTGGTGGACTGAACTATTGACTAGCCACGTGGCATGTTAAGTCAGAGCCTCCTGCTCTGCAAAGTCCTCTTCATTTCTGGTCTTATTTTTCCTCACACACCTGGGAGGAAAAATAACTAACTGCAGGTAGACCTCTGCCCAAACCAGCTCTTTCTAGTTCCAAGGCCTCCTGCAAATCCTTTAATTCTGCTTTCTAAACTTGCATAATAATATAACTACTTGAGGACAACACAACTATCTGATAGTGATGCAACCACATCCAAAACCTATTGCAATGTCCAGCATACAGCTGAGGCACTTGAGGCTCTGAGAGATGGAATGATCTGCCTAAGCTAGCCCTGGGCAGAGCTAGGACTGAACGCAAGTCCTCCTCCTCCAAAGTTGGGAGTTTCATAGGGGACTGTCATGGCCCCTTTCCTACACTAGTCAAATTGGGATCAGCCCAATTTATAGGATCAGCCCATTTATGTCTTATGTCCCCATTATATCTCATGGGTAACTTGGTAGTGGTAGTCCCTAGGACATTATTCATATGTTATGAAACGATGGTGAACATTTCATTGATTCTCTTGGAAGAGCAAGGTGTAAGGATAGAAAGATGAATTCTACTCAGACTGGCTGCCCCCAAAGAGACAAAGAAACAGACTTTAGGCCAGGGTCTTTTTCTGTCTTTTCTACACTCAAGCAGAGAAAGTTCTGTGCTGAAAGAAAGCCACAGCCACTCAGAACACAAGACCCACTAGCCAAGGATTTCCTATAATATAAATGAATAAATGCTCCTTGTTTTCACTCAGCGCAGTTGTGTTAGCAATCCATGCATATGAAATACACTTACAAATGTATTAGATCCTTTATACTAAATAAATTTATGACTCTGCCTAAATTATGTGGCCTTGCAAATGTTCCCACGCATTCTGGCTCTTGGCTTTAATAAAATCCTTTGCCTTTGCTGTCATCCACACAATGTAACAGTGGGTTATCTTCTATGATTTTATAATTGGTTTTCATTGCCCTATAATTGATTTCTGTCTGAATCTTACCACTAAAGTTATGTTGGAAATCACCCCAGCAACTTAAAGGAAAAAAAGAAAATCACCATCTTCAATTAGGTAACGCTTATAAACAAACATTACCGACCTTGCCAACATCCTACTTTGGTTGCCCTGGAAAGGGGAAGAAGAGGTGGCTGGAGAAGGAATAAGACCAGGATGAATGGCCTTGGTTTTCCTTATTCTAATTCTTGTCCAGGGAATTCTTGGATTGAGACAGAGAAAGAGAGAGAGAGAAACAGAGAGAGAGAGAGAGAAACAGAGAGAGAGAGAGAAACAGAGAGAGAGAAACAGAGAGAGAGAGAGAGAGGTTGTATGTTGACATTTTATATATTATATGTGTATATGTGCATATATATATATATATTTGCTGTTTTTGTTGTCATTAGAAATGGTGCTTGCATTGTTATACATGAGAAAGACAAACTAAAGTCTTCTGTTTAATCAGAGTAATAACTTCAGGCAGAGAGATAAACTATCAATAATTTAGAAAATTAAAAGGTAGCTGATGATCAAGACAGTATTAAAATCTCCTTCCATTTGACTAAAATTTAGATAGGTCTTCCTAACACTAGGTCCCTGACCTCCCCCTCTTTTTAGAGCATTTATTAAAAACAAAACAAAACAAAACAAAACAAAGAAAAACACACACACACAAAAACACACTTCTAATTATAAACTCTTACTTTGTTCCTTAGAAATTTAATTTTTTATATGAAAGTTGCCAGAATCAAAATGGAATCACTAATGTTAAATAAAACTCTGAGAAATAGAGCCAGGGAAACCATGAAGAGAAAGTTTTGTTTGCATGCCTGATAATGAAAAAGACTATAAAAAAGAAAGCCTTGCACAAAGGCCATCGCAACCTTGCACAAAAAAATACTTCTGCAAGGACATCTGCCCAGCAACTGCCTGTCCAACCTTGCACTGGAGTCACCCTTTTATGCATCATTGTAGCCAAGGATAATTATGTCGTTCTTCTCATTTTTTCTTTAAAAACCTTTGCCTTTCTTTACCTCCCAGAATAGGATACATACAAATATATTTATACAGCCCAGGTATTCTCATTGTAATGCTCTATTTCCAAACAAACATCTTTTTCTTTCAGGGAGGCTCTGTGTTTGTAATTTAGATTGATGCTTAAAAAGCCCCTTGAGAGTTTCAAAATCTAGAAATGTCTTTCTCAAGGACCTGGGAGCCCTCCCTCTCACATGCAATCATCCAGGGAGATAAGGCCCCCCTCTCTCAGTCTTTGTGAAGGGTGGGAGCCTAAATTCAATGGGGCCCCTTACTCCAAGTTGTAAAGTTATCTCAGGTCATGAAGATGTAAGAAAGTTTACCTTTCATTTAGGTTTGGCCAACTGGCAAACACAGATGGCCTATGATCTTCTCTGATTCCAGCTGTTAACAATGCTAATGCCTCTTGCTTCAGCAGAGTTGAGTTCAGGCTATGATCTACTCCCCTATCGCAAAAGCCTTGAATAAAGTCTTACTTACCTGTTTTTGTCTGTTTTTGTCTGGTGTAATTTTTGTACTAATAGTAGTACAAGCTTTCA